CAGTTGGGAGGAGGTTTAAAAGCTGTCTGATGTGGCAGCTGTTAGTCGCTGCCTGTGTTGAATAGCATGCAGGGCTGTACAGTGCGACATATACTGTATGTCGCACGTGCCACGAAAAAACTGGGCTGTGCGATGAATAAATTTACCACTGTAGCACACGTGCGATACAGTTTTGCATGTTCATAATAAAGACGCTTAATAGTGTGAAGTGATTTCGTTGTGCTTGTTAGCAGTAGAGTTATACTCACAGGACACTGCACCTATGCGCAATCACAAAAATACATTATTTGCATGTGCTTTAAAGATTTGCCGGTTAAACATTTCATTCGCGCGCTGTTCATGCGCTTTTTCTCAGCGTGTACAAAAGCCTGTTAAACAGCGCCTACTGGACTAAGTTGTCTTTCGCGTCTGATTAATTTTGCGTCTAATACTGTCAAAAATGCACAAGGTTTACATATAAACAGTTGGTTATGTCTAAAATGAAAGTAAACAGTTGAGAGAGAAACAGATGCAGCTCTTAAAGCGACAGTAAGAAACATGCTGCCGACTGTCATTAAAGGAATAGTTCACCCAAAAAATTCATTTCCGTCATTATTTCCTGTGCTACAAAACTTTCAACCTCTGTAGCACCAGTGCTATGTGCAAAAAAAGTTAACGTACAGCCCTGGCAAGTTTGTGAATTTAGAGGAGGTAGAGCAATGCAAGAAGGGGTGTGTTTGTTTGGGTGTCGAATTCAAATATCAATAGTGTTTCTCAGAAATCGCTTACTGAACCTTTAAATTTAGTTTCCACTGTCGACAGAACATTTTCCCAGAACCGTTGTTTGACATCCAGGTGGTTTTGGGCAAACATGAGCATGTCCTTTTATGAACACCATTCTTGGCTGAACTAACCGTTTAAGGTTCTATGTTAATACAAATTGACCTCTTTAGTTTTACCTAATGCAGAAACTTTTCAAGATCATCAAGTTAGTAGCTATGTCCTAATCAGGGCCATCACATGGAGAAAGGTGGTGACCATTCTAGGAATCACAAATCATGGCGATTTCAACCGAGGGTCCCCCTCCTCCCCCAGAACACGATTTCAACCGAGGTGGTTTTCTCTCATAAAATCCTATTGTCACCAGCACACAATGAAACTTGGGATAGTCTGGGCCGCAAAGGATCCATCTGTTGTAACATTCATGACCTAGAAAATGAAGGACACATTTCGAGGCCGCATTTGAAGGAGCCTTCAAATTGGAACAGCCTTCGCTGCGTCAGTGTAACACATTGGATCTTCAAATGCAACCTTCGTAGGATGCAGCCTCTGAATTGGGACACAGGAAGTGTCTATACAGCACAAGAAAACCCATGTACATTCCAATCAAACCTTAATCTTTTGTAGTCTAAAACATAATTTGAGTCTGGTTTTCAGAAAAATGTCAGTCCCCATTGAGCTATAAATACTTACAAGAGCAATTAATTGTGGTCCTCACTTACAATGCCAAAAGAAAAAAATATAGATATAAATACACATGACCTGATTGAATTTGAATCAACTTAGTCAGAATATACAGATTGCCACCACAGGGTGGCACCGAATGAATATCTATAAATCAATCATATCACATATAGGATAGTAACAACAACAATAACACTTAAAATTCACATTATTTAGTATAAAGAAAAATTACATTAATTTTTAAGCAAATTAATCATTTAATCAAACATATACAGTGGCTGAGTTGTAAAGCAAAAGTAATAAAACTACACAAACTACAAAAAAAATTAATAGCAATACATATGTCCTCATAAAATTAAACTGTCTAAAAGGAGCTGCTTGATGTGTTATATTATGAAGTCTGATTTCTTTTGTATTTCTTTTTTATGTTATCCATTCAATTAAAGACCTTAGCAAAACCTTTATCTTTACTTTATTTCATGTTTGTGATATTCAACATGTCAATAAATAATATTATACAGCGTAACAATAAAGGTAAGCAAAAATATCCAGTTATTTATAGACAATGTTCATTTGGATTGATACCAGTTTGGTAGCTTTGTTCTAGGGTTTCTGTGTAAAATTCTTCAGTTTGAAATTCTCTTCAAGCTCTATTCAGTGACAGGATGAAAAATGTGACATTTATGACAATGTTCTTTAGGACAGTAACAAATATGACATTTTAAACCATAGCTCAATGAGATATTTCCTTCTCTTAACAGAAAAGAATAAGCAACACTTGATCTAGAAGTGTGAGTAAAGTAACAAATAAATCACTGTTTATATAGACATGACTGCATGATTTTGCATGACTTTTGTCCTGCATTCCATTAATTACAGTACGATTTCATACCCATACATGTATTCAGAAGCTTTTTTTTCCAACAATAAATATTCACCTCTGATCTGTTAATGTGATGAAATAATAAAATAAAATATGATTTAGTTTTTTTTTTTCATCAAGGTGGTTTAATATTTGAAATATTGTACATATGTGTCATAACATGGACATCAGAAAACAAGGAGAAAAAAGCATCCTAGATAAACTTCTGTTAAGAGTCACAACAGATACTGTACATGTGTAGCCACATCCAGACCAGCCGGTAAAAAGACATCAGCTTAAAGGGACACAAGTGTTCTCTACTGCAAGTAATCAAGCATTCAGAAATAATCCATAATGTATTGTATTTCAAAGCCTCAGTACTTTTCTCTTACAGAGATATCAATGCGATATGCAGCAAATGGGTGCTCTTTATTCCATTTGTTACATATCAAGAAACAGATCATTTTAATACTTTGATGAATTTGATGTTTGCAGATGTAAGTGTGGTATTCTCATCATGGTTGGTAGGGATAGAAACATGTTTTATCATAAATCTACAATATAGGTCATACTTTCATACTTTTGAGATTGTTATGCAAAGGTCCTACCTGTGGGAATATAAAATGCACTTTATAGCATGTCAGAAGCAGCATTTAAATAATTGAAAATATGTGTGTATAAAAATTGTACAGAAGGTAACAGTTGACAGTAAAGGTCGCATAGTTGACATGAGCAACACAGTTGACACACCTGAACATTATTTAATTTGTAGCGTAAAGTTTTTTTCTTTTTGTTCAGCAACACTGAATGAACTAATGACAAAATATGTAGTGTTCTATGCCTATGATTATTATACTGAGTAACATAATTTACTTATTTTCTTTCTTTTCTTGCTGTAACTTCAGCATTAGGCCTTGCATGGCTAGTGCCTTGGACTTAACTATTGTGAACAAGCAGGAAGTAAAATATTTAAATTTCCTAATAAAGTACAATATTGCAATTTTCTTGTTTCTGTATGTAGTCAGAGAGAAATATAAAATAATGCAGATATTTCATCACATGTGCATTTTGAAACCTAAACATTCCGTTTGAAAAAGCACACGTTAAAGCAGCACTATGTAACTTTTTCTGTGTTCAAAATTTGCAAAATGTATATAATGAGCGAGTACATCATGAATTCATCTTCCAAACCGCGTTTTTGTCTTATTCCGAATCACTACGGTACACTTATAATAAGTACTTATATTTGGACTATTGTAGCCTGGTCGGGTCGTCACTGCTGCGGAGTAGGGATGTAACGATTACCGGCTTGACGATAAATCATGATAAAATTCCCCACGGTTAGTATTACCATTTCATATTTTAATTATCATTAAAACCGTATTAGATTACCGCCATTTGAACAACTCGCGATAAATAAATACTGTCCAGCATAACGCAGTTTTAAGTAACAGTCTCACGTGCGCACAGCAGCAGAGTAGTTTCGTTTTGAGGGCGGAAAAGCTGGGAGGTTTTAAAAGAGTGCTAAGGGAATTATACAAATTAATATATGAATGAATTAATTATATGAATGTACCGCTGACGGTTCTGACTGTCTTCAGAAACGATTCGATGGCATTTTGTTTTCAGCTTCGCTCCATGTAATAGCTAAAGGAAGTGTTCTTAATCGCAATACAGCTTTGTCCACAGAGGTTACCAGTAGCCCCTCACTGCAGAACAAAGATCCAGGGGGCAGGGTTGGATCCACATCTAGGGGGTGGAGATGGGTGGGTTTAGGGATCGGGGGTGGAGACGGGTAGGCTTAGGTTTAGGTACGGTGGGAGGAGTTGGATCTGGATCCAACCTCGCCCCCTGGATCTTGTGTTCTGCAGTGAGGACCATCTCGAGGTTACGGGAAACAGCTCTAATTCAGCTTTTCCATGAGCGCCACCTGCTGTCAGCGAGTGGATTTACAGAGACTTATATTTACATTCAGCCTGTGTGCGGTTTCTGTCTGGACAAAAATTGACCGAATTTGCATGCCCTGCTGTAAATTTTGACCGGTTGATGAAACCGTTTAAACAATTCAGATAAGTTATCTAGAATTATTTATGGACCAGATAAAATACATATAATCATTTATTAATCAATTATCATTTTGACATATCTTTTCTTTATTTAAAGGCTGAAATGTGAGGTTTACCTTTTTATGAATAATCGTGATAAGAAATTTTCATACCATTACATCCAACCTGCGGAGTAACATATACCTGCGTGAATCGCCATAGACATAAACTTAGAGAAGTAGCTCCGGTTGGAATGTTCTTCCGCGGGATGCAGTTCTGTTTATTGAAAGTAACAGAGTAACCAAAAGTTACATAGTGCTGCTTTAAGAAAATTAATAAAAGCTGTTAATTTGAAACATGGTGATAATGATAAATAAATAATGATTTATAAATAAATAAACATTGGATCCAAATATCAAAACATGTTCTTCTCCTTTGGGAAAAAAAAGTGATGTTTTGAAGAAAATAAATCAAAATAAAATTTATCAATCATATTATGCACTTTTTTAGATTTATATAAATATTTATTTCTTATATTATAATTTTTATTTTTAAATTAGATAAACACTCAAATGTACAGCAAATAAAATGATAGGGTACACATATGTAAGGGTGACAGATTTTCAGCAAATACCATTCTAAACATCACTGTTGTTGATGAGAGGTACTATGGCTTTTTCCCCTGTCTAAAAAGGAGGCATTTTCTTCGCCTAACGATATTTTATCTGTCAATGTTCATAGGTGTCTCTTCTGTTGGAGAATAATATTGTTTTAGAAAAATATACATCAGGAAAAAGCTTTACAAAAATAAACCAACTGAACATAGTCATCCAAAATCTACTTGGACATGAACTTCACTCTAAAATAGATTAATATTGCACAGAGTGGGATTTCCTCTTAGACAATTTTTGACTTGTTGAACTCCATGGCTTCAAAAACCACCTTTACATATCACCTGTTCAGTTCATAAAGGTGTCTGTCAGAAGTGCAGTATCAGTTTCATATTCTGAACCCATACAAAAATGATTGATTCACAGGGTTTGATCAAAGGCACAGGTTTCTGCAGAGGTTTTCAGAAGGTCTGAAGAATCTGTTGTCATGATAATGGCTCCTCTTCTGGGATCTGTGACAGAGAAATATTTAAAAAGAAAAACAAAATTATTATTATTATTATTGTTTAAAGTCTGTACTCTTTGCAATAGATTTCAGTAATAAATGTTTGTATCTGTGTTTTTTTTTTCCCCCTGCTGGATGTATAATTCTGTGTCTTCAAAATCTTTTACAGACAGCTCTAAGCTGATGGCAAGTACATGACCTACAGTGGGAACTGATTTGGAACAAGGGATTTTAGCTGAAGTTCACTGGTTTTTGTGTGTCTGTGTAAGAAACAAACATTTGTGAACAGTGACCTTTCTATCAGGTAGACATGTTTTAATTTAACATTTAACACCACCAGTGAAGCCGGAAAATAGTACTTGTGTTTGCTCACATTTAGGGATATCCATCTTTACAAAAAAAAAAATAATAATTTCAACATTATTTTTGCTTAAAATACATTAACTAACCGAACAAACTAACTAACAAAATAATTAATTGAATCTCATGCAATTATCAGTTTAGAAGTAAATTTATTGAGTTTACATTTTTTATATATATTTTAATTGGTAAACATGACATATTAATGTACTGTTATTTTTTCTAAGACTCAACAATACAGCACTCCCTCTGACCCCACTGTTCAACAGTCTCTTACCAGCTAGCTGATTTTCTGTCAGTGCAGTTTTGTGACAGATAAGTGCACTGACCACTACTGCAATTAAAGCACTCAGTCATGGGTGTGTCGAGAAGCCACCCGAGCAGCGCACACTGATGCTGACCCATCTGAACTATTAGAGAATTTGGCACACACCCGCTCTTGGAATCTTCCTCAAAGTTAATCTGATGGGTTGGTCGGGTGGGCAGCGGTGCCAGATGGTGGCTGTAGTTATGAATGATGCCTTGGTCGTAAGTATTAAGTTGGATCAGTGTAATCCTGTGCAGCATATGCAGAAGGCCTGCGGGCCCTATCCATGGAGGACACACTTGCACACCCCAGTCACTCATTGATATACTTCTGATCTTCTTCCCCAGCATGCAGCTACATGTTAAATATGTTCTTATTTATAGACAGTCCTTTTCCTCATTTATTACTTTATCTGAAATACTTTCATGGGTCCATATTCAGCAGTATGACTTTAAAAAAATCTTCATTAACATTTTATACCCTCTCACTGACCCTTAGATAAAAAAACTGTTGTTTCCACCATACCTTTACCGATTCATTTCTTCAAAAAAATAAAATACTGTTTCCAAATTCAGCTATTTTTATTTTTTTTTAAAAATACAAGTTATTGTAAGAACAAATTTTAGATTATTATTTGAGATTACTTCTTCCTTATTCATTTTCTTTTTTGGGATTTGATTGATTGATTGATTGATTGATTGATTGGATTGACATTCACTTTTGACTAGTCAATACAGAATAAAGATGCCGGTGAGAAAGTGGTAACTCTGTGGCATTTTTGAAGGTTTCAGTGGGATCCCCAAAGTCAGATTATATTTGGGTTTGTACCTGAAATTTATCAGAGGTAACACCTGTAACACTTTGAAATACATGTATCTATCAATGTTCTTGTTTATGGATAGAATATTTTTGATTAAGCCAACACATGTTTGCTATATGTTTGACTAACATGTTGACTAACTGCAGTAACACGTTTGTAATATTGCTGCTGAAAGGGGGTTATTCACGTTCTGCTGAGAGTAAATAATTTATCAAAAAAGTTTCCTTTTGATATTTGATGGTTAAGGTACGGTGGCTGAGAGAGCTCAACGCGCTGCAAATGAAAAAACACAGGCAAATAGAAGAAAAAAAAACACCTGCAAATTAAGAAAACATCTTCATCAATTTGACGTTGACGTAAAAACACATGCTTTGCAAATTCTCACAACACAAACAAAGAAACACACTTCCCTTAAACGATTCCGTATTTGCAGCGCGTTTCTTTGTTTGTGTTGTGAGTCTTTGCAGCGCATTTCTGCGTTTCTGTTGCAGCACGTTTCTGTATTTGATTGTGTTGTGAGAATTTGCAGCACGTTTCTGTATTTGATTGTGTTGTGAGAATTTGCAGCACGTTTCTTTGATTGTGTGTGTTGTGAGAATTTGCAGCACGTTTCTGTATTTGATTGTGTTGTGAGAATTTGCAGCACGTTTCTGTATTTGATTGTGTTGTGAGAATTTGCAGCACGTTTCTGTATTTGATTGTGTTGTGAGAATTTGCAGCACGTTTCTGTATTTGATTGTGTTGTGAGAATTTGCAGCGCATGTGTTGTCAAATTGATGAAGATGTTTTCTTAATTTGCAGGTGTTTTTTTTCAATTTGCATGTGTTTTTTTTCTTTCTTTTTCATTTGCAGCGCGTTGAGCTCTCTCGGCCACCGTATTATGGGGTGAGGAGAGCAATGTCACCTCTTTGTACCCAGCTTCCGAAAATGTTTATTATTGCATTCATAGAGTGCAGTTTATTGGCTGATCAACAGGTTCAACAGACATTACTCCCATCATTTGTGCAAAGCAACATGGGGTGTAGGAAAAAGCCGAATATAGTACCTCTTGACGTTGGCGACCAATTTGTTCTGTAAGATTTGGCACCTTTCAAGAATGAAAAATAAAACTAAAATAAAAACCTCAGGCCCTATTTTGGTACATGCCAGTTATTAATAATCCTTTCTAGCGATTATAATCACATTGTGTTTTACGCACTTTGTGAGTGTTATCCTGTTTTACATCAAATCCTTTATTACAAATCTTATTCTACACGAAAGCAACCCAGGCCCACACAATAAGACTGTAATGTGTTTCTCTTTTATTCACTTGCTCTCTGGTCACTGAATCTGAAGAAAACAATGTTCTCACACGCCGTCATCTCATTCATCTTCACAGAAAGAGAAATCCCTCGCTTCAGGATGAGGACAGCTGTTCCAGCTGCCAGTGGGGACCTCTGTGAAGCACTGCTCGTGTACCGCACAAGCGCGGGCACTTTTAAGTCAACAATCTACAATAGGTGTTGTAAACTATGATTGAAGAAATTCTCACAATATTTGCATTGAAGACATGTACTTCTAAAAATTATATTGTTATCAGCAACAAGGCCTTTGCTACATGATTGGTGAAAGAGTTTCAGACCATAGACATAGACAAAATAATACGGTCAGCTTTGAATCCATTTAAGTGCCTCTTTTAAGTTAATTGTAAACAATCTCAGGTTTTAATATAAATGGGACAAAAAGATCCACATTACACAGGTAAAAATATACAGTTTTCCCTCTCTCTCTCCCAAGAGACTATTGTGGTCAAATTCTGCTTCACTAAGTATTCTAGTTAGTTTACACTGCTTCAGTGGATATCAACACACTGACAGCACAGAAGCCAGCATCCACCGAGCTCCTGGCACTTTCCATCAATAGGGTAAAAAAAGTCCCAAATGAAACTCCCCAAAATCAAGTCCTTTTTTCTTTAAACAAACAGTCAGCTATGATGATAAGCTCCAGCATCCCTGGAAATCTACATAGGACAAGCAATTTAGAAAATGGATGAATGGATGGGTCAAATATTATACAAGCTATTTCTATTTCTATTATAAAAGGGGAATTGAAAATATCTTTGTCATTGTACATTGATGATTTTGAGCTCTGTAACCCCTTAGGCACTTTAGGCTTTCTAACACAAACTTTGTGGGGTCTATTGGATTTTGAATAATTTGCCACCTGGATGCAGTTCAACACTCACATCTATCTATTTGGCAGTTTTATGCAAGAGTCAACATGTAAAGTGATTTGGATATGACAATTTTAGAGCCCCTTTTACAGGAATTGATTACTTTAGAGTAATGGTGTTTACGTTCCAGAGCTTACCAATAGACCTCACATTATTCCATGTACATATGCCTCCAAAAAAAAACATTTTAGGTAATGCACATGAGAATTGGAATTTACTGAGATTGCTTCTATTCATTATTGGAGACTTGATACCAGAGGCTGAGCCAGCCTGGCTTGTACTTCTTGATTTGAAAGAAATAGTTTGAATAGCCCCTATTCATAACGAAGAAACAGTAGCCTACTTGAACTGCAAAACTGTAGAGCAAAGACACAGATTTGTGGAACTTTTCCAGTTCAACTGTTACTAACATCATTACGTGGAACATTATCCGCAAATGATTCAATTTTTTTTTACCTCTAGTAGGGCAGTGGACTATGAGGTTTGGCGAAACATAGTATAAGAAATTTGCTCGCCACACGAATTGTCATGATACATGATACATAATCGCAACTTTACAGATCTTCTTTATGCACCAAGAGCTTGTAACACTTCAAAGAGAAAGGAAAAATTTTAATCGCATCATATGACCCCTTTAAACTAAATGCAATTAATTAAGCAACTTTTGATGATTAGCATTTTCATTAGCATTATTTGTTTCACAATAAATTGACAACCTTTTAGCAGGTCTACTGTAAAGTATCTATCTTAAAATAATTACAAAATACATAAATGTTTATACTAATAATTAGGTGACAAAAATATGAATGTAGCCAACCAATGTAATTATAATCTGTAGTAGTAGTTGGCTAGTCAGAGTTAAGTAGAGGTAGGCAAGGATTGGCTACAACATATTCTAGTAAGGGATCCGCACTCGCTTAATCTTCTTAATCCCTTTCAATTTATTTTAATTTTGCAACAGAGCAAACAACAACCAGACGTTTCGGCAGCAAGCCTTCTTCAATGAACCATACAGTGACATTTCCTATAAGAGTTCTTAAAAAAAGAAATGAAGTCCAAAGATCACCCGTGAAAAGTCACATAAAAGGTGTTACTGATCACAAACTTAATTGACCAATCAATCAAGCAATTTCAGGACAGACAACCAAAGATAATTCCAAAACACTCAACACATAAAAGTAACATAACCATATAGGCACAAAAGGAAAGCATACAACACAATAGTGATGCAGTAAATTAATAACAGTCGTAATAAGCATATTTCCAGTACGCGCCTCGGGCTTGCACAGTGTCGTCAACTCACTCATC